TCCAGTGACAAGGGCCAGAAGGCAGAAGGGGACAAGGAAGCTGGTGATAGGGAACACAAGATTGAGTAAGGATATTGTTGATGTGTTGTGAGATTGTTAACCATTGTCATAGGGCAACGTTTGTAGTAACTGTTAAATGGGAAACTGTTTTGTTCTGTAGGCCTTCATCTTAAGTGAGAATAACAGCACAACTGGAAGAGCGTAGTCAATGTCACTGAACTGCGCATGTAGAAATTTTTGAAATAGTGTATCTTTGGCTATGTGTATTTTCACCGAAAAAAAAGGTTGAGAAGTTAGAGGGTTGACATGTTGTGGGGTTGTTAACCAATGTCATAAAACAATATGTGTAACTACTGTTTCATGAGAAACTATTTGTTCTGTAAGCCTTCACCTCAAGTACAAAAAAAAAAAAAAAATTGGCTCCAGAATCAGAGATGGTAGAAGGAAATGCTGTATCATTTTACGTATTAGATGGGTGGTACATGATATAGCTGAAGTGATTCCAGTTTTTTTTTAAAAGTCAGTGTTTTACACTGTGGTATCTTTTGTTCTTAACTGAATTTGGAAATATTATTCCTTACTTTTGGAAAGGAGAGACTCTCTGTACTAGTTCTTTGCCTAAAGAGAAATACTGACAACATAAGGCTGTTTACCATACTAAATTGTCCATATGTTCAGATACTACTTTGATGTGCAAACTATCCCAAATGTGGGTAACAGTCAAATATTAAGTAAACATATGGGTAGATTGTGGAACTGTTGATTGTTTGACCAGTTTTAGCTTATATGCATCTATGTGGCTTGCATGTGTGCATATATAACGTCCATAATTTTAAATGCAAAGAATAAGCCTATCTATTAAATTTATGTCGTGTGTTTGTATTTAAAATTGTGTACATTTTGAACAAACCAAAGGACATTAACACAATGCATACTTGGCCTATTATTATTTCCACACTGAGTTACATTTATAGTTTTCCATAATTATACTGGAAACTGTACTGTCGTTTCACTGTAAGCCAAGTTACAGGAGTGTGTGTGTCTGTGTGAACAACACCTTCAAAGGTACACCTGGTGTCTTAGCTACCTAGTGCCACTGTAACAAAATATACCACAAGTGAGTGGCTTTAAGGAACACGAATTTATTGTCTCACAGTCTTGGAGGCTAGAATTCCAAATCAGGACATCAGCTCTAGGGCAGGGTCCTTCCTTGTCAGTAACCCGGGGAGTTCCTTGGCATTCGTTGGCCTTTGTCTTCCCTCTATGTGTGTGTGTCTCTTTGTCTGTTCTGCTCTTCCCAGAAGACACCTTTCAAAAGTGACTAGGTTTAGGACCCACCCTACCCTAATATGACCTCATTAACAACAAAAGAAAACCCTATTTCCAAAACAGGGCCATATTTATAGATACAAGGGTTAAGACTTCAACACATATTTTTTAGGCGGGGAGGAGGGAACACAGTTGACTCGATAACACCCAGAAATGTTGCTTTGTGAGTTGTATAGCAGTAAGAAAAATAGTTTGGAAAATTACGATCTCAACATTTTCCTCCTTTTGTGTGTGGAGAAGTCAATGACATGAATTCTTCAGAGACAAATCGCCACGTCTTCTGCTGCTCATACATCTTTTATGTGCACAGCTGAAGTCCTTGTCCCTGAAAGGCCTTCAGCGTTCTGACCTGGAGGCTGAGCTCTGGCTGGTACTGAGAGACTGGAAGACAAAGAGTTTGTCTCCAAAGCATCCCTACATCAACATGGCAGTAATGGATAGAAAATGAAATAATGGGTCCTCAGGGAGACCATCCCTACATGCATTTCAGCCCGTCCTATGAGGCACTGCTCAGGGCCTGCAAGGCAATTAGCCTGACACACCCAGCTTCTTCTGTTGGATCAGCGGTGGGCACCAGCACTCCATTTCCATACCTGCCACGGGTGTGAAGCCCGATGAGAACGTCCCCTCCGAAATAGAACTGGCACTGCCTCCCCAGAATAGTCCAATGCAACAATCTTATCCAAATTCCTTGAAAATGAGGACTGTATTTATAGAAAAGCAAAACTGGCAGGAATAAACTGTGAAGATGCCACCAAGTTATGCTTTTATGTCTTCTTGACAGAAAATCATAAGCTGCAGGGGTTGGCCCTGGAAATCTACAATGTGTCAGAATTCCCTTGGTGCTTCTAAGATTTCCTGCACACCTAGTCACTTTTACTGAGTACCTACTACATGCTAGAGCTGTACCTTGCTC